CCAGCAGGCAGGGTCAGGAACCTTTTAGCAAACATGACAATTATGGACAAAGTCACTTAACCTTAAATGAGAAATGTACAAAATAGAGCTTTGAGATTTTGCCTTCTTCATTGCCTATTCTAGGTTTTGTTTTTTGTCCTTTTCATGTTCATTCAGTCTTTCACTGTGCTTTTGTTGTCCTTATATGCCGTCAAGTCGGACCCAACTCACAGCAACCTCTCCTTGGGTTTCCGAGGCGGTATCACTACGGAAGTAGATTGCCCAACCTTCCTTCGGAGGAGTGGCTGGGGAGTTTGAACCGCCAGTCTTCTGGTTAGCAGTCAAGTGCCTTAGGCACTATGCTACCAGAACTCGAAACAAACAGTCTGCTGAAAACGCTGTATTCTGCGTATTGCGCATTAATGAGCCTTCCTCCAATCCTGGTGCCCTGTTCTTCTTTATATAGTCCAGCTCCTTAGATTACTTGCTCAGCATACAGATTGAATAAGTATAGTAAAAGGATGTAACCCTGACGCACACCTTTCCTGATTTTAAACCAACCAAATCTCCTTGTTCTGTTCAAATAACTACTACTTGGTCTGTGTACCGATTCCACAAGAGCACAATTAAGTGTTCCGGAATTTCCATTCTTCACAGTGTTACCCATAATTTGGTATGCTCCACACAGTTGAATGCCTCTGCATAGTCAGTAAAATACAGGTAAACAAACATCTTCCTAGTGGTCTGTGCTTTCAGCTGAGATCCATCCATCCGGCATCAGCAATGATATCTCAGGCTCCATGCCCTCTTCCCAGTCTGGCTTGAATTCCTGGCAGTTCCATGTCATTGTACGGCTGCACCCATTTTTATCTCAGTAAAATTTTACTTGTGTGATATGAATGATATTACTTGATAATTTCCACATTATCTTGGATCACCTTTCTTTGGAACGGGTATAAACATGGACATCTTCCAGTTGGTCGGCCAGGTGGCTGTCTCCCAGATTTCTCTGCATAGACCTGTCAGTGCTTTCAGCAGTGCACGCATCTGTTGGAGCATCTCAGGTGGTATTCCATCAATTCCTGAAGCCATGTTTCTCTCCAGTGCCTTCTGTGCAGCTTGGACTTCTTCCTTCAATACCATTGGTTCTTGATCATATGCTACCTCCTGAAATGGTTGAACATCAACCAGTTCTTTTTGGTACAGTGACTCTGTGTATTCCTTCTATCTTCTTTTGATGTTTCCTGCATCGTTCAGTATTTTGCCCTTAGAATCCTTCAATATTACAACTCAAAGCTTGAATTTTTTCTTCAGTTCTGTTTAACAGATGCCAAGCATGTTCTTCCCTTTTGGTTTTTTAGCTACAGGTTTTTCCACATTTAAGCATAATACTTTACTTTGTTTTCTTGAGGTGTCCTCAAGAGTTGAAATCTGTTCAACTCTTTTACTTCATCATTTCTTCCATTCACTTTGCTCTATATTTATAAAGAGCAAGTTACTGAGTTTCTTCTGACATCTGTTTTGTCTGTTATTTCTTTTTAATAATATTTTACCATCTTCACATATGATGCCTTGATGTCATCTGTCACAACTCACCTGGTCTTTGGTCATTAGTGTTCAGTGCATGACACCTGTTCTTAAGATGATCTCTAAATTCAGATGGGAGATACTCAAGATCATACGGCTCTCATGGACTTGTTTTAGTTTTCTTCAGCTTCAACGTGAATCTGTATAGGAGCACTTGATAGTCTATTCTCCAGTCGGCCCCTGGCCTTATTCTGACTGGAACTTCATCTCTCCACAAATGTAGTTGATTTGATTCTTGTATATTCTATCCATGAGGTCCACATGTGTAGTCACTGTTTATGTTGTTGAAAAAAAGGTTTTTGCATTGAATAAGTTGTTGGTCTTATAAAATTCTGTCATTCAATATCCAGTGTCATTTCTGTTACCAAGACCATATTTTCCAACTACTGATCCTTCTTTAAGGAGTGCTGATGGTACAGTGGCTAAGGCATTCCAGTTGCTAACCAAAAGGTTGGTTGTTCAAATCCATCACCTGCTCTATGGGAGATAGCTGAGGCAGTCTGCTTCTGTAAAGGTTTACAGCCTTAGAAACCCTACGTGGCAGTTCTCTGTCCTATAGGATTGCTGTGAGTCAAAATCAACTTGATGGAGTAGGTTTAGTGTGATTTCATGATTCTTCTTTCTCTCCACCTTTCTCATGCCAGTCACCAGGAATTATCAATGCATCTTGATTGCAAGCTTGATCAGTTTCACACTGTAGAAGTTGGTAAAAAAAAAAAAAAAAATCTGTCATTTCCTCATCTTTGGCCTTAGTGCTTAGTGTGTAAATTAAAATAATTGCAGTAACTGGTCTTCCTTGTAAGTGTATATATATATATTATCTCATCACTGACAGCATCGTACTTATAGATCTTGAAATGTTCATTTTTACGAGGAATGTGATGCTGTTCCTCTTTAATCTTCATGAAGATTACAGCCTTAGAACCCTACATGGTAGTTCTGCTCTGTCTTATAGGGTCACTCTGAGTCAAAATCTACTTCAGTAACAGGTTTGGGTTTAAAGCATTTATGATTCCTCTCCCAGCATTCTACTTTCTAACCCACAACAGAAATGCTCTCCATCCCCAACGCCCCTGCTCACTGCTATTTACTTTCCTTGGGTGACCCTCTAATATATTTCTCCTGTGAAAAATAGCAGTAAGATATGTGACCACATATTTTAGTTCTCCAACTACAAACTTCCTGAAGTCAACTTAAGAAGTAATTTTTATAAACACCCCATTGGCCCGTTTTTTAATATATCTGTATTTTGTTTATAATACTTTTACACTGTAGACCAAGGTGTTGCTTATTTGCATAACAGTCTGTTACTAGAGTTCAGCTGAAATGTCCCAAGAGAATGCCTATCAGAAGAAGGTATGTGAGTGTTTTGGTTGGGAATGCTTACCTTCCAAATAGCCATCTGGAAAACAAGAATATACTTCAAAATGGACATGGATAGAGTGACCTTAAGAATGGCAATTGTAATGAACTCTTATTATCCACAATTAAATAAAATAAATCTGTGGCTGTATGTTATAACCAAAATATGTAACAGCTAGATACTTACTGATTTTATTTGACATAGTAGGTAGTCAATGTAAGTCCAAAATTCATTCACAGCTTTATAGATACCAGATTCTCGTTGAATAGATTATTCTGTTGTAATTAGCTTCTGGGAATGGGCAGGTGTTAACTCGTCTCAGGTAAGATGAATATGTAAACTAGAATGCCATATGTAAATACGTATACATGTGGATGTGTGTATACACAGAGAAATTTCTCATAGGATAATTTCTGGCAAATTATTTCTTACTGAAAGTTAAATTCACTCAAAGGACCTAATTAGAACATAATGTTATATAGTTAACATACAACTATTACAAAGAGAACTGAAGAATATTAAGAGATTATTTCCATCAACCTCGTATAACTGGATGGGTTACATGTCCTTTTTTTTTTTACATCGCATCTATAATTAAAATCTGATACCAGTTGAGACCATTCTAACACACTGACTCTGCTGCCTCTGGCATTCATGTCATCTGTCACCATGCTGCAGTACAGTTAGATGGATACGATCTTTTTATTGCCATTAGTGGCATTCCAGTACTATTCTGGATCAGTGTTTTTCCTCATTAGATTTAGAAAGTACTTTGACCTGAACAGCAATATTAATTTTTTTAAGAACCCCCCCAAAAAATTTTCTGCTAGTAAATATACTCCCATTGTACCTTCCAAAAGAGCTGCATGTTTTATAAACATAAAGATCATTTAAATGAATAACTGTAACATATACTGAAAGTGGGAAATTGAACAAATAAGGGAAAACTACTTATAAATCTGTTAGGATCTTAATTGTAGTTCTTGGGTAAGAAGATAGCATTACAATCCCATTGCCTTACACAGGCATAAAATAAAAAGGTGACAAAGTAAATGAAATTGCTAACTGTGGTTGTAGGCAGGCAGTAAATTGATGACTTTCTCCTTTTCTGGTATTTCATTTTTTCCTTCACCCTATTTGTATTTTGGGAGCTCTGGTAGCATAGTGCCTAAGGCACTTGACTGCTAACCAGAAGGCTGACGGTTCAAACCCACCAGCCACTCCTCGGAAGGAAGGTTGGGCAATCCTACTTCCGTAGTGATACTGCCTTGGAAACCCAAGGAGGGGTCGCTATGAGTCGGGCCGACTCGACGGCACATAACAACAATAACAACAACAATTTGTATTTTAATAATAAAAATATTTTAAAATTAAAAAGAAAAAAAAGATCCCATTGCCTTCTTACAAGCAGCTTTTCATGAAAAAGTGACTGAAGGTGAATCCCTGCTAAGAAGGAGTAGCCCTACCTCCAGCCCGTTTAAGAGAGCTCTCTTTATTGTCATCTCTGCGGAAACAGGGATCTACAGAGATGACCACAGAAGAACCAGCATGCAGTGTGACTCTGATGAGGGTCTCTTGTTTCCAGATTTAGACTTGGTTGTAACACAATGTAATAAATTCTACCTCCGCAGAAAGGTCCCTGTGTGGCACAGTGGTTTACAATTGGCCATGAACCTAAAGGTCGGCAGTTCAAACCCACTCAGTAGCAGCACAGAAGAAAGGCCTGGCCGTCGGCTTCCATGAAAATCACAGCCAAGTGAGCCCTAGGGAGCAGTTCTACTCTGTGGCACATGAGGTGGTGACAGTGGCTCTGTTCTTGTTTACACCCCAAAATACTTAAACGTGTCTTGTCTTTCTTCAGGTGTGCGCATCTTTTGCTTCAGGCCCCAGACAGAACGATGGGACATTCTATGAATTTCGTACTTACTACCTTAAACCCTCAAAGATGAATGAGTTCCTGGAAAATGCTAAGAAAAACATTTCTCTTCGGACAGCTCACTCTGAACTGATTGGATACTGGAGTGTAGAATTTGGAGGCACAGTGAATAAAGTGTTTCATATTTGGAAGTATGGTATGAGTCATCTAGCTTCATGGTTTAGTACAGCTTTTCATTCTGTTAGCTGGAACATGAGACTTAGCTCTTAGATCTCTGCTTCTATAAATACAGACAGGTCAATTCAGTGATTATACTTCCCAATAGTACACCTTAGACAAGCCCCCTGCTCAAACCCTTAGTTATAAAGGGGAAAATGTGGACTCTCTGAATCTCAAATCAAAAAATTATCTCATTTCTGCACCCCAGAGTTTCAGAGAATTCACTGTCATTACACTGCAAAGGGAAAGGAATTAGAGAGTTCTCCCCACATTGAAACTGACCTACCCCTGGTTTAGTAGCAGTAGAGCAGGTTATAGGAACACCTAGAATGTTTGTTACTTCAGTCTCTATAGCAGCCAACATGGATTTAGTATTATCTGGAGAATTTTTAATGCTTTCAGTTAATGTGTGGTGATCAACATCTAAAATTAATAGCCATAAAGTACTTTAATATGGAAAGTGCTCATTGTATATTTAATATGGCCATACTTCAGTATTTTTTCCCATTACAACAGACCCCTTGAAACACAATATATGCTTTGGATATCCCATAAATATCCCACAAGTTTGATATCCCACATGTCCCATTAAAATAACAAAGTCCTCATAAACTTGGAATCTTTCAAATAGATGTTACTCCTTTTCCCCAGGATAAACCACACAGCCCTACTACCCTTAGTCTTATGAGGCCCAGATAGTATTAGGTCCAAAAATTAGTAGATGTGTTAGTACATGTGCTTGGGTAATTTACACAGAAGAAAAATAAGTAATGGGAAAAAAGAATGGGTGAGATGGGTAAGTCACCATTAATTATTTGGAAGCTATTTGTTCAAAGGGGAAGAGCCTTAAAAAGTTCATTTGATTCAAGGTGTTGGTTGATATGACCATTGTCCACCAGCACCAAAAACAGCCTTTTCTAAACTGGGACTGTAAATTACATGCCTCAATTAATAATAATAAACATATATTGAGTATAGGCTAGGTGCAAGCACTATTCTAAGCTTTTTTCATTTAATTCTCACAACAACCCTGGGGATAGACACTGTATTATTGTCCTCATTTCACAGATTAGAAAACTGATACATGAAAAGATTCAATAACTTAGGTCACAGAAGTGCCTGGTGAGTGGTGGGGCCTAACTGCTTATTACATATGGCATGAGGGTTAGACCGTGAGCAAGTTGCAGGCAGGTATCATACTGGTTCATCTTGGGAACTCCAGTGATACAGTGACCCCTAGGAGAACCAGAACTGCAGGGGGCGCTGCCTTGATTTTGGGCTCTCATGAGTTTTCTGCCTTTGCCAGGGTACAATCTCACCACTTTCCTATTGCTCCTTTTAGTGAAAAATACACGAGTTTTCCATAGTGCCTAAGGCACTTGACTGCTAACCAGAAGGCTGGCAGTTCAAACCCACCAGCCACTCCCCGGAAGGAAGATGGAGCAATCTACTTCCATGATACTGCCTTGGAAACCCAAGGAGGGGTTGGACGGCACATAACAACAACAACAGGTTTCCACTTGCACAGGTTCCCACTTTCTCTGGTTTTACTGTAAAACACAATGTCCCTGATGTGCGTTTACAGAGCTAAATAAAATCCATAAAAAAGGTATTAAAAAAAACAAACTCACTGCCATCAAGTTGATTTGAGTTGATTCCGACTCATAGCGACCCACGTTCGGTTTCCAAGGTGGTAAATCTTTATGGAAGTAGATTGCCCAGTCTTCTGCAGAGTGGCTGGTGGAGTTGAACCACCAGCCTTCTGGTTAGGAGTCAGATGCTTTAGGCACTGTGCCACCAAAGCTCCTTATAAAAAAGGTATGTTGTTATGTGCAGTGGAGACGGACCCGACTCATAGCAACCCCTCCTTGGGTTTCCGAGGCAGTATCACTACGGAAGTAGATTGCCCATCTTCCTTCTGAGGAGTGGCTGGTGGGTTTGAACCGCCAGCCTTCTGGTTAGCAGTCAAGTGCCTTAGGCACCATGCTACCAGAGCGCCCTTAAAAAAAAAAAAAAAAGTACAGGAGATTTTAAATTGAAAACTTATTTTTCTTCTTTTCTTCCCATAGATAATTTTGCTCATCGAACTGAAGTTCGGAAAGCCTTGGCCAAAAATAAGGAATGGCAAGAACAAGTCCTCCTTCCAAATTTGCTTCTTATGGACAAACAAGAGTGTGAGATTGCTTACCTGGTGCCATGGTGCAAAATGGAAAAGCCCCCCAAAGAGGGTAAGCTTTTCCTTTTCCATCCCTGAGTATTAATGAATAGAGTATCAAACATCTTAACTATAAAACTGAAGGTCCGGCAGAAAAAAGGTAAAAGTGATCCTTTGTTTTATATATTAGGAGTTGGTAGTGGAGATGGTTAAACGCTCAACTGCTGGCCGAAACGTTGGCCGTTGTAACTCGCCCAGAGGCACTCAGGAGACGTGCCTGGGAAGCTGCTTCAGATAGTCACAGACTTGAAAACTCACAGTTCTGCTCTGCACACGTGCTTCACTGTGAGCCAGGATCAGCTCAACACCCACTAACAACAACAGCAGGGTACTTGGCGAGATAAAAATGAATTTGACCCTTGAAACAGGAACAAAGAACACAAGCCCACTGTCTTTGAGTTGATTCTGACTCGGCAATCCTATAGGACAGAATAGAACTGGCCCGTAGGGTTTCTAAGGTGGTAAATCTTTACAGAGCAGACTGCCACATCTTTCTCCCCTGGAGCGGCTGGTGGGTTCCAGCCGCCAACTTTTCAGTTTGCAGCTGAGCACATTAACCGCTGCATTACTAGAGCGCCTTCTAGAACAATGAGCATTAAATAATGAAACATTTTTCCAAATTGGGATTTTATTGATTCTTAAAACTTAGCTATGTTGTTATATGTAAAGCTGAAGTAATTACAAGAGGTTGAGAAATTGGGGATTGGAAGCGGGGGAAATGTGTAGGTAGATGAAAAGTAGTGTATGAAATTTTGTTATAATTTTAAAATACCAACTTTTAAATAGGAAAGTATTTTTTCTCACAGATTAAAGCTAATCTTAATAAGTACATCTTTACTTATGAGATTGACTGTTTGTAAGATTGTAAGGAGGAATGGATTAATTGAAACTGCAAGGCTGTGTTCCTGTAGTCTAACTTTTGTGTTTTCCTCTTCTTTCTCAGTTTGAAAATAATTCCTAAAGATTTGTCGTCTTGATGATTTCACTTCTTGCTGACTTAAAGTGATAATTACCTCAGTCGACCTTTATACAAAGGCCAGATTAGAACCACATAAACTAGTTTACGCTTTATTTTATATCCTCCATTATTCCCAAGGAGCTCTGGTAGCATAGTGCCTAAGGCACTTGCCTGCTAACCAGAAGGCTGGCGGTTCAAACCCACCAGCCACTCCTCGGAAGGAAGGTTGGGCAATCTACTTCCGTAGTGATACTGCCATCCAAGGAGTGGCTGGTAGGTTTGAACCGCCAGCCTTCTGGTTAGCTGTCAGGTGCCTGAGGCACTACACTAAGACTTAGGAAAAAAAATTTAAAATATTGAGATAATACCTTATATATAGTTTCCACCAGCCACTCCTCAGAAGGAAGGTTGGGCAATCTACTTCTGTAGTGATTCTGCCTCAGAAACTGAAGGAAGGGTCACTATGAGTGGGACTGACTCGACAGCACATAACAACAACAACATAAAGCTTCCAGTGTTCTTTCTTCTTTTTCTATATAATTGAGCTTAATACCTGTCTCTTAAACATGAACGAGGACTTTCTAAGCATAAAAGCACAAAAAAATAATGCAAAAAATTTATGCATATGTTTACATAAACATAAGGAGCCCTGGTGGTGCTCAGCTGTTAACTGAAATGTCAGCGGTTTAAACACACTGGCTGTTCCTTGGGAGAAAAGACCTTGTGATCTGCTCCCATAAAGATTACAGCCTGGGAAACCCTATGGGGCAGTTCCACTCTGTCCTATTGGGTTGCTTTGCATTAGGATCAACTAAACAGCAAGTAACATAAACGTGTGAGCCTGAGTGTTGAAAACGTTAACTCGCCCAGCTGCTAACGCTGAGAGGTTGGAGGTTACAGTTCCACACCAAGGGCCTTAAAAGAAGGGCATGGTGATTTATTTGTGAATATCAGCCATTGAAACACTACGGAGTGTCGTTCAGCTCTGACACGGGGTCGCTGTGCAGCTCTTCTGTAACAGACCAAACATGATTAGAAGTTGCTTATTTTCTGTAAAATTCTTTTCTTCTTACTCTAGGAGTCTATGAACTGGTTACTTTTCAGATGAAACCTGGTGGACCAGCTCTGTGGGGTGATGCGTTTCAAAGGGCAGTTAACTCCCATGTCAGACTAAACTACAACAAACTAGTTGGAGTTTTCCACACGGAATATGGAGTACTCAACAGAGGTACAGTGGTCCCCTTGCTGTGTGATAACTGCAAAGCATAATGCCCAGCTACTAATAAGCTCTCTGCGTCAGTTGGTTTCTCTTTCTTATTATGGCATACAATTTTTTATGGCCAAATTTTTAGTATTTTGTACTTTGAAAAGTTCAAAACATCTATTTTACATTGAATTTATTTACATCTTACGAAGCCTTTTTCAAATGCTTAACTGCTTGCTTTCCCTGGTACATGGAAATGATAGAATTTAAAAAACTAGAAGGAACCTCAAGGAATAATCTACTCTTTGCATTCTTTTTTCCTCTGAATGTACTTTTATCCATTTAAAAAAAATTATTTGGGTTAGGGAGATTATTTCTGAATGCAAAAGTAGTATTTGTTTTTATAAATACTAAAAACAAGGACAAACACAAAGAAAAAATTATTCTTTTCCCACTACTTAGTGATAATGCTAACTACTTAGAGTTAATGCTATTAACATTTTGGTCTTTTTATTCCCGTGCCATTTATATAGGAGCTCTGGTGGTATAGTGCCTAAGACATATGACTGCTAACCAGAACACTAGCAGTTCAAATCCATCACCCACTCCTTGGAAGGAAGAATGGGCAATATATATAGGATAGGATGTATAGATATAGGATATATACAGAGAGATGGGAGGTATACAAGTATGTATACACACACATGCATATGTGATATATACACATATGTACATATACAGGCAGTTACGAACGAGATCCATTCCTGTGTCCTTATGAGTCAGTCAGACCAGGTACATATGGTTCTTATTTAGCTTTACATTAAGGCAAGAAGGAGCTGTGGTGGTGCAGTGGTTAAAGCATTTGGCAGCTAACCAAAAGGTCGGTGGTTCCAATCTGCTAAAAAGGCAGGGAGGCCACATCTTCTGACCTCCTCTAACCCCACAAGAGGAAGACAAAATCACCATCAGTAGCCCAAGGCCTATTACTGCAAGGCTGGACATGCTGCCTCCCTCCAGCCCTTTCACCAATCGTTCCTCCCAAAGCATCCACCACCTCTCTCCTGAGTTTGATAGCTGCAGTGGCCACACAGAACTCACAGATTACGGGGTTTATTAGGGAAGCACCAGGCTACACTTCAAGTTCAATAAAAACGCTCAGTCTCTCTCCCAGCCCACCATCTCTCAGCCAAGTCTATCACAGTCTCTCCCCCAGCAGTGCGTGTCCCTCAGTGTCTTACTCAGCAATGCGTGTCTTTTGTGTCTCTTTCCCAGCAGCGCATGTCTCTTTCAGCAGCATGTCTTCCTCAACCAGCAGTCAGAGAGAGACCTCTGCCTCTAGGAGGCCTCCTTTTGAGCCTGGCAGAGTGGCCAGACTAGCCATAACATCAGAATTCTAAGCACCTGAGAGAGAGTGAACTTCCCAGAATATTGTTCCAGTGCCACTACCAAAAGAAATAGCCCAGGTGGATAACTTTTACAATCAGGAGCTCCTCAGTTGCTCACAGCAAATTCCACCATGGAGTTTACAAAGACTTATGGGTAGAAAAGCCACACTAAGTAATTTACTACACGGCAGGCCACCCCCTGGCCTTTCTAGCCATTATCCCTTTATACTTCAAAAATTCACATCCCTTCACCATCAGTTTAAGAATAACCACACCCGTGAAAGCGTGTAAGCCAGCCATTTCAAGCCTTTATCTCCCCCCATTTTAAACAGCTAATTTCTAATTTGCCCATCCTTATTCAAACCAGTACTCTAAGGAGACAAGCATGGTCCTTTCTACTCTGGAGAATCTTCTGTTCTGCTTGGAAACTTCAGGCATCTGGATCCATAAACAAGCAAAGTCCAGCCCAATACAAGCCATCAAATTGCAGCTACTTAACATTAGCTCAGTGTCAAACATCTTCCTCTTCATTTGGTCGGGTTCTGGTCAGCCCAGCCCTAGCCATCTCAGCTAGGTCATGGGTACCAGCTGCCAAGTTTGGGAGTCACACTCTTCCCTTCACTTCAGACCAGCCAGCACCTTCTCTCACATCTTCAGTCCTCAGGGACTATTTCAATGCCGGTAGGCTCACAGCTCATTGCACTTCAGACCAGCCAGCCCTTCCTCTCATCTCCAGCCTCCATGGCCAAGGTCAAAGAGTACCAAACTCAGCCCATTTCTTCTTTGCTGCACTTCCCCCATTTCCACTCAGGTAGACCCAGGTGGTCACAAGTGAGTAACATACAAGTTTACTACTCACTGGCTTCTTAACTTTCAGTCCTGGAAGGGGTTTATCTCATGGACCATGACTTTCCTATCTCGATGCACCCAAAACCAGTCTTCTTGCTGGAAATTCAAAGAGCCAAACAGTCATCATTTTTTTTCCTCTTCAGGTCCTTACAAATGCAAATCTTCTGTTCCCTCAGTAGTACTGGGTGAGGCTCAGGTTTTCTACCTAAACCCCCTATACTCTACACACAGGGTTTGAAACAAAAGCCTGTGTTTCTTCTGGGCAAATTCTATTTCCCCTTTTAACATATCCAATCAAGTATTGACTGAAGGCGGACTTAAACACACTCTGTTATCCACATACCCCATAATCATTTCTAATGTACAGGCAGGTAAGAGAACATTCACTAGCCTTAGTACATTCAGATAAACACATAATCCAAAACACATAATCCTTTTAAAGACATTCCAGGTTCATCTCTTCACCTTGATTATCATCCCATTCTGTGCATATGGCCTTGGGCCTTTGCCTGGTTATAACCAAAAGCCCTAGCCTCTGGATCAATTATCTCCTTTAAGAGGTAACACCAAACAAAGTAACCATCTAAGAATCCAAAGTTTCACTTCCCAGGTCCCTTCCTTATTTCTTTTACAATGTCTCATGCTTCTATGAGTCTGGAGCCACTGCAACGAATCCCACAGCTTCTGACAGCAACTGCTAAAAGGGCAAGGAGGCCACATCTTCTGACCTCCCCTAACCCCACAAGAGGAAGACAGAATCACCACCAGTAGCCCAAGGCCTATTCCTGCAAGGCCAGACATGCTGCCTCCCTCCAGCCCTTTCACCAACCGTTACTCCCAAAGCACCCACCACCTCTCTCCTGGGTTCGATAGCTGCAGTGGCCACACAGAACTCACAGATTATGGGGTTTATTAGGGAAGCACCAGGCTACACTTCAAGTCCAGGAAAAACACTCAGTCTTTCTCCCAGCCCACTGCCTCTCAGCCAATTCTCTCACAGTCTCTCCCCCAGCAGTGCATGTCCCTGGTGTCTTACTCAGCAATGTGTGTCTCTTGTGTCTCTTTCCCAGCAATGCATGTCTATTTCAGGAGCACGTGTCTCTTTCAGCAGTATTCTTTCTCAACCAGCAGTCAGAGACCTCTGCCTCTAGGAGGCCTCCTTTTGAGCCTGGCAGAGTGGCAGAGTGGCCAAACTAGCCATAACATCAGAATTCTAAGCACCTGAGAGAGAGTGAACTTCCCAGAACATTGTTCCAGTGCCACTACCAACAGAAATACCCCAGGTGGATAACTTTTACAATCAGGAGCTCCTCAGTTGCTCACAGCAAATTCCACCACGGAGTTTACAAAGACTTATGGGTCGAAAAGCCACACTAAGTAATTTGCTACACTGCACAATCCCACCAGCTGTTCTGCAGAAGAAAGATAAGGCAGTTTACTTCCATAAATATTTACAGCCTTGGAAAACCTTGGAGACAGGAAAGCCTTGGAGACAGCTCTGTTCTGTCCTGTGAGGTCGCAGTAAGTTGGGACCAACTCAGTGGCGGAGGGTTGGGTTTAGTTTTAGTGCCAGAAAAGGCCCGTAACCTTTTCAAGTGATTTAAAAGCTGCAAATGCTCCAATTGAAGATGCCTGTGATGAAGAATTTGTTGCAAGCAGGGATTGGTTCAGTCATTTCAAAGTGATGGCGGCACCCTGTTCAAAGACAGTGGCCAGCGCACTGCTTTGAGCGTGTGTGGCTCTGCACAGTCCTGCCAGTAATCCAGTCTTAGCCGTCAACTCCAGAACGGGCTCACTGTACCTGTTCTGAGTCTCCCAGCCCAGAGCACCAACTCGTGATTTTTCCCGTTCGGGTTACTGTGACGAATCATCCAAATTGAAAAAATTCTAGTCTGTTCCTGTTTCACTTTGTTGGCTGTGACAGAACCAGTTTGGAGCCTTGCATTAAAGGGCAAGTAGGAGTTGTCTGTAAGTCAGACATTTGTAACCCAGGGACTGCCTGTGTGTGTGTGTACATACAGATAGAAACATGTATATATGTATAGAAATGAAATTCAAAAGCAAAAAAATTAAAAACTTACACAAAGGTAAATATACAGGTGACTACTAAATAAATATTTAAGGTGAAACAGATTAAAATAATAATGAGACACTATTTTTAACCTAACAGAGACATGCCGATATAGATACAAAGAGAGAGATAAATCCAGTGTTAAGAAGGTCAAGAAAATATAAATACTTATATACTGTATAGGGTTCATATTGGCTTGATTTTTTCCCCAGAAAAATTTGGCAATATACATTAAAAGCCTTATTTTTGTTCATTGTCTTTGCCAATTTTATTTCTAGGAAATATGCTTTGGTGTGTAAGGGTATAGATATCATATGGGAAGGAAATTTCAAAGGCTATAAAGTAGATAGTGTTATGTATATGTTTATAGCTAGCTATAAGGAGGAAGAGAGCTCTGGTGGGGCTGTGGTTACAGCATTGAGCTGTTAATCAAAAGGTTGGTGGTTCAAACCCACCATATGCTCCACTGGAGAAAGATGAGGCATTCTGCTTCCATAAAGATTTGTAACTTTGAAAACTCCATAGGGCAGTTCTATTTTGACATATAGGGTTGCTGTGAGTTGGAATTGACTAGGTGGCAATGGGTTTATAAGGAAGAATTCACTTAGCCATTAAAAATTAATACTGTTGAAATAGAAAATACTTACATTATTGAGTTTTAAAAATATTTTACTAAGCATATTGTACAGTGTAACCTTAATTTGATTTTACATATTTTTTTAAAGGAAATAGACCAAATATTGAGATTTTTCTCTGAGAGGTTAAGATTATGCTTATTTTTATTTTTTTCTTTATATCATAAGTTTTCTACATTAAACACAATTCTCTTTATAATCTTATTTTTTCCAATAGAGTAGAAAGTTAGGAAACGAGTCTAGTTTTGATCGTCTCCAGCCTTCTCTTTCTTCATCAGTAAAACCAGTGTGATTGATTAATTTATAAATTTCTTTGCCAAATCTCTGACCCTCTGAAATCTTGACCCTAACAATTTAGTTTTATATTCACTATTTTGATTTAAAAGGAGCTCTGGTAGCACAGTGGGTAAGGCATTTGGCTGCTAACCAGAAGGGCAGCAGTTCAAATACATCAGCTGCTCTATGGGAAGAAGATGGGGCAGTCCATTTCCATAAAGATTGACAGCCTTGGAAACCCTGTGGGGGTCTCTGTGAGTCAGTGGCAGTAAGGGGGAGGGGTTCGTTTTTGTTTTGATTTAAAGAACAAGATGAACATCTGATTCCCTTTTCTGCAGTTCTTATCTGTGGGCCTGCCATATTCTTTAGAGTCTATTTGTGGTTGTTTCTGCAGTTCATGCTCTTTGGTGGAATGAGAGTGCGGACAGTCGTGCAGCTGGGAGACACGAGTCTCACGAGGACCCCAGAGTTGTGGCAGCTGGTACGCTATTTGACGAGGCATGAATTATTTTTAGAACATATTTGATTCAGTCATTAACTTTATGTGTCTTCTTATAATATTTTTTTTCCTAGTGCGGGAAAGTGCCAACTACCTAGTATCTCAGCAGAATATGCTTCTGATTCCGGCATCTTTTTCACCATTAAAATAGTTTGCTACTGAAAGGAGACGTTCATTAACTGCTGTGCAATGTGTCTGCTAATGGTGCTTACATTCCCCCCAAGAGTCTCCCTTTTATCTGAAGGAGGTAGTAAGTTCATTAGCTGGGTCCCTTGCATTATTGAAGCTACTTCTGTCCTTTGTCATCACCACTTCAGGAAATAGGTCTGTTCCTTTCCCCTGTGGTGTGGGGCATTTCACTGTCTGGGGTGCATTGCAAATAGCTGCCACTGCTTCATGGTCTTGATTCTTCCTTTATTTTCTAGTAATGCTGCTTCTAGATTTTGATAGCCTTTTTGGTACACATTTTCTTATATTAAAATGATGTTCTATTTTCATGCCTGTGACAGTTTTTTTAATTATTTATATACAATATCCACCTTTTTAGAGTATCTGTTTTTCTGAGTTTTAAAAAAAAAATTTATTCAGTGAAGTTTATTTTATAGCATCAGATGGGATTCATGAGAACAGGAGATCAAATATATTTCTTTACATTGGAAAAATACAGTATCATATGTATCATCTGTATTAACTGTGGTTTTTACATTACCTGTTAGTCATGCTAACATAGAAAATAATGTATTTAGGTCTTGGCATTAAAAATCTCATTGATTTATATGCTGAAATGTTGTCATTAATTTTACCAATGTTTTTACTTCATTTTGAATCACTGTTTAGCTAAGACACTGGGATATCTGTTTATTCTAAAGCAATCTTCTATGGTTATGGACATGCTTGCCCTAATAAAAGCCTACAGATCCATTCTGATGCTTTTTATTTGTGTTTTATATTTTCATCCTCTTCTCTGGAGCTGTTGCTGTATTGTTGTAGGGTCATGGCACAGTAATAATTTACCACATTTATTGTAAATGGTGAGTTACATCAAGAAAATAGCATGCTAGATCTGGTAGCATAGTGCCAAAAGCACTTGACTGCTAACCAGAAGGCTGGTGGTTCAAACTCACCAGCCACTCCTTGGAAGGAAGGTTGGGCAATCTACTTTGGTAGTGATAACGCCTCAGAAACCCAGGGAGGGGTCGCTATGAGTCAGGTCCAACTCAATGGCACATAACAACAACAACAGTAACCCCATCAAGAGAATTTCTTCAGCACTGTCACAGATGTACTGAAGTTTTCCTTGAAACACCTATAATTTCTATTTTAGTTGAGTGCCTCTGCCTTCTAACATAGTTTGGTATTTCAAAGTTCTGATAGTCTATAGCAATGTTACTTTACATTTCTAAAACATACTGTAAATTATGAATTAGCTATCTGAAAACATTTTGGACAACAAAGTGTGTCACCTCTCCCTTACCTGGACCATCGTGCAGTGTGAGACAGCTGGTACACCCTCTCCCGTTACTATGGATGAACTGTACATGCTCCAAAGCAAAGACCGACTTCTCTATTTGTACACTTACTTGCTCAAGGATGTGGCTCCAATAGTTCTTCCCTTGCTATAGGATCCTTCTCGCCAGCATACAAATACGTTACTTTCCAGTCTTAAAAAGTAAGTATACTTCACTCTCCAGCTTCTGCCCTATTTTTCTTTTTCTTTACAATATAATTCAGAAGTGTAGTTCATAGTCCATTCTCTCTTCTCACATTCTGTTCTGAACTTACTTAATCATCACATCAGCCAAATTGTTCCATCAAGCTCATTTCTCAGTCCTCATTTTACAACTGACCTTTCTTTTGGAAACACTTTTCTTCATTTGTCCTCTGAAACACTGCACAAAACCGCCTTTTCTCGTTAGCTGCTACTTCTTAGTCTCCTCCTTTTCTTGACTTCCTATGTTAGAGTATCGCAGGGCTGATTCCTTAAACCTCTTCTATTTATACTTACTCCCTGGACGTCTCCAGTTTCTTAGCTTTAAATAACATCTGTATGCTGACAACTCTAGTCTACACCTTTTCTCTGCATTCCACACTCATCTCATCCAAGTATCTTCTCAACACCTTTCCTTGAATGTCTGATAGGCATCTCACACTTCACATGTCCAAAGCTGAACTCTTCTTAATCTTTACCCAGAAACCTTAGCTTAGTTAATGGCAGCTTTCTCTACTTGCTCAAGCCAGCAACCTCAGGCTCATTTCTTTTCTCTTCTATTCCATTATGTATCTGTTGGCAAATCCCAAATATCCAGAATATGATTGCTTCACGTCTCTTACTGCCACCATCTTGGTTCAAGCGAGTCGTCATCCCTCACCTGGATTACTAGGAAAGGCTCCTAACGGATCTCCTGTTCTTGTTCTCCTTCCACTCCCTCCCCAGTCTATTTTTAACACAGCAGCCAATGTAACGTGAAACAGGCCAGATCGCGTCACTCCCCTGCTCAGAACTCTCCAGTGGCTTCTTACTGGAGAGCTTCCAGAGTAATCAAGCCCTTGTGACCTGGGAGTGTCTGCATGATGTGGTTTCCTCATCTTTCACTGCATCTGTTCCTCCCTTGGCTCCAGACCTGGCCTGGGAGGCTTTCCTTCAGTACATCAGACACACTTTTGCTTCAGGGTCTCTTCGCTCTGCACGGAAGGCTCCTCACAAGAACTCTTCGCATCTACGCAGATCACTTCCCCACGTTCAGGTCTTTACTCAAAAGCTTCTTGAAGCCTTTCCTGCCCACTCTGTTTAAAACTGCAAACCTCTACCACTGTCCCCTGCCTTCTTTTTCTCTGTGCTACTCAGAATATTGTGCTGAGGTGGTTTGTTACCATGTAACTCCCCCCATTACAGTGTAAAGTTCCTGATGGCAGGGAATACTCCTCATTATGTATCTGTTGATTGGATCAACGTGAGGTTTAAAATTCTGTCATTCATACTGTGCTGCCATAACAAGGGCCAGCAGATGGCATCTCTTATTAGAGGTGCCTCATCATCCTAACTAGATGAAGTAGTAAATGACTCAACTGCTTCTGGATACCATTAATAAATAAAAATAATACTGTTGGGGTTCTTTCCTTTCGGTGTTACACCTTCAGCCGTGAATAAGTTCAGGCTTCAGAAGAGGCTTGTTGCCAGTATCCTCCACTGTGCTAAGAAGAAGGCCCCCAGTGATACCAATGAAATCAGCAATGCCAGCTTCCATCAGCAACCCCAGAAACTGATTAAATATGGCCTGTAACTGTCCATTCTCAGGCTTTGTGTTGGAAGAATACCTTAGCTCACAAGAAGAGCAGGTGTATGGGCATAAGTAAGCAAAAAGGTACTGCAAACGTGAACGCCTGGAGGAGGAGAATTCTGCACTAGCTGCTCAGAAGATCATGAGTCTAAGAAGATTGTCACATCATCACAGCCTGTACCTGAAGGTGAAGGGGAACGTGTTCAAGGACAAGCAGATTCTCGTGGAACACATCCACAAGCCGAAAGCTGACAAGACCCACACGCAGCTCATGGCTGACCAGGCTGGGGCCTGCAGGTCTAAGACCAAGGAAGTGTGCAAGCACCATGAGGAGTGGTGCCAGGCCAAGAAAAGAAAAGATCATCAAGACTTTGTCCATGGAGGAAGAGACGAAGAAATAAAGCTCCCCTTCAGTCATTCAGAAAAACAAGCCTTTATCTGCCTGCAAGGTAATGCTGTCTGTTGGTTGTAAAGATAATACCACTGATTGTGCTTTAGTATGAAAATATTTGAATTTGTATTTCCAGGTAGAGAAACAGATACACAGCCAATCTGTTCTGGTTCCAGCCTTGCCACATACTTCCAGGTGATCAGCAAACTGTCTCTTGTAGACACCAATCCAGAACTTCATTCTCAGCACCAGATCTTAACCTACTGAGGAAACCCTAGGAACCTGCTTGCAATGGAAGCTACGATATCTTTAGTCATCAGTGGAGTGGGAACCTTGAGTATGGTGGGAGAAGTGTTAAATGCGCATTAGAAAGACCTCTTCCTCAATTTCTGTGACCTTGAATGGCCTTTCTCCATCTTTACTCCAAAAGGAGAAAATCCTTTTTTTTCAGTGAGAGCCAGTTGGCCCAGGACCTTGAGGAAAATGAAATTAGGGCATTGGACAGAATGGAATTTTTGATGGCTGATTGGGAGAAATGGAAAATTCTCTACCATGGGTTTCTGCCTTAAAGGGCCTGACTGGCTAGCATGTGTAAGGATCTTGACAAAAAATGCTTAAAGGGTTAAAAAAGAAAGAAAGAAAAGATGGTGCCTGAGCTATTAAGAGAGACAGGAAAATAATTCAAATAAAATGTTTTACTTCAGATACTGTCCTATTTTCTGCTCCCCTTCAAAACACAACTCCTCTGCAGAGTTGTGGATGTTCACCATCTTCCTTTCCTTACTACTCGTTCTCCCCGAAGCTGTTCCACGTGGGCATGCATCCTCATCAGCCCTCTGAAATGACTGGAGGTCACCAGGAACTGCTTTACTACCAGGTTCAGGGCTCAGTTCTCTCCCTTTCTCTGATCTTCTCAGCAGTGTTGGACACAAACATTTCTGCCTTCCTGAAACACGTGATCCTCTGAGCTTCAGCACATGTCATGCTCGTTGGGTTACCGGCCAGTCCCGCTGTTGCCCTTGCTGGCTTCTCTTCCTAATGCTGCAGGGCTTCAGGGCTTGAGCCTGTTCTCTGTCTTCATTCTCTGTCCCAAGGCTTAAGCCACGTATATGCTTATGATGTGCACATCTTTTCTCTCCTTTTGGAACCATCATCTCTTACCTGGCTTCCCTGCTGTCCATTTTCCCCACCTCAGTCAGCATTCTTCTGACACAGATGTCACATCACTCTGCTTTCCTGGTTAAAACTCTCCAATGGCTTCTGATTGCACCCTGAAATCCTTCACATGGCCAGCAAAGCCCTGCAAGTGCTGGTCCCTCTCATGTCTCTGATTTTGTCCCCTACCTTTCTTCCCTCTGCTAACTATCAGAGCCTTGGGTTCTCTTTTTACTCCCTCTTGTCAAGCTTTTTCTCACTTGGAGATGATGCAGTACCTATGCTTTCTTCTGAGAAATGCTCTTTCCACACACCTTCAAATGTTGC